AGTAGATGAGCAGGTTTTCAGATGCTTTTTTATTATTATTAAAATGTAATTGACATACAATATCCTGTTAGTTTCAGGTGTGTATCATAGTGGCTCAGTATTTTAATATATGATGAAATGATCCCCACCAGAAGTCTGTACTTTACATCTCCATAACTTCTTTATTTTATACCTGGAAGAAGATTGTACCTCTTAACCCCTTTCACCTGCCCCCTCCCAACCCGTCCGGTAACCAACAGTTTGTTTACTGTATCTATGAGTCTGTTTCTGTTTTGTTTCGTTTGTTTGTTTTGTTTTTAGATTCCACATGTAAGTGAAACCCTGTGGTGTTTGTCTTTCTCTGTCTGACTTATTTCAAATAGTATAGTACCCTCTAAGTCCATCCATGTTGTCACAAATGGCATTCTTTTTTATGGGTGAGTCATGTATATATGAATATATATCCTCCTTATCCATTCATTTATTGATGAACACTTAGATTGCTTCCATATCTTTGCTATTATAAATAATGCTGTAATGAACATAGGGGTGCATATATCACTTCAAATTGATGTTTTCGCTTTCTTTGGATAAATACCTAGAAGTAGAATTGGTAGATTATATGGTAGTTCTATTTTTAACTTTTTTTTAAAGATTTTATTTATTTATTTGACAGAGAGACACAGTGAGAGAGGGAACACAAGCAGGGGGAGCGGGAGCGGGAGAAACAGGCTTCCCGCGGAGCAGGGAGCCCGACATGGGGCTCGATCCCAGGACCCCGGGATCATGACCTGAGCCGAAGACAGACACTTAATGACTGAGCCACCCACGCGCCCCTCTATTTTTTAACTCCATACTGTTTTCCACAGTGGCTACAGCAGTTTGTGTTCTCACCAGTGGTGTACAAGCGTTCCCTCTTCTCCATATTCTCACCAACACTTGTTATTTTTTGTCTTTTTTATAATTGCTTTACTTAGAGGTATAAGGTGATATCTTGTGGTTTTGATTTGCACTTCCCTGATATTTAGTGATGTTGAGCACCTTTTTATTTGCCTGTTGGCCATTCAGTGCTTTTGAGACTAGTTTTCAATGCTGATGAGACATTGGCAAATGAACCATATAATGTGAATGGCATTTTATTTAATGAAAATATTGTGACCAGAAGCTCACAGGAAGCTTGCTGTGTTTTTCCCTTAGGAAATTTCAGTATTCACTACTTAGTGTTCAGGTGACTTTTTGGAACATAAGTCCCACAAACAACAACAATTTATTCTATTTGATAAAGGAATCATGTGCAAAATACATAAAGAACTCTTATAACTCAATAACAAGAAACACAATTTGAAGTATGGGCAAGGAGACTTCGCCAAAGAAGATAAAGTGACAAATATATGAAAAGATGCTCTGACGTTAGACTCGAGGAAAATGAAACTATACACTATGAGAATAGCTAAAGGTTAAAAGACTGATAATCCCAAATGTTGATGAGGATGTGGAGAAACTGCAGAACCCTTATACATTATTGTTGGAAATGAAAAATTGTAGAGCCACTTAATAAAATAGTTTGGTAGGTCCTTATAAATATACATTTACCATATGATTCCATTAGTCCACTCATAGGTATTTACCCAAGAGAAATGAAAACATATGTTTATTCAGAGACTTGTACTCAAATGTTCATTGCAGCTTCTTTCATAATAGCCAAAACCTCGAAACAAACCAAATGTTCATCAGTTTGTGAAGAGACCAAACTGTGCTCTGTCCCTGCTTAGCAATAAAAAGGGACTACTGATGATACATGCAGCCACGTGGATGAATTGCAAAAGCATTAGGTTAAGTTAAAAAAAGACAGACATAAAACACACAGTGCATGATTCCATTTATATGAAATTCTAGAAAAGGCAAAACCATAGAGATAGAAAGCAGATCAGTGATTGGCAGGGGCCAGGAGTTGGGGGGACAAGAATTGACTCCGAAGGGGCATGTGCAGACTTTTTGGAGTGTTGGAAATACTCCATATCTTGACTGTGGTGATGGATTACATGTTATATACCCTTTAAAAAAAAACAAACCCTCATCAAACTCAACACTTAAAACAGGTAAGTTTAATTGAAGGTAAATTAATGCCCCTCTCAAGCTAATTAAAGCAACAACAACAACAAAACTTAACCAGAAACTATAAGGCCCAGCATAATAAAACTGTGCCTACTTTTTTCAATGAAAACAAGTACAAGTTTTCTTGTATTTGAATTTATAGGCCTTTAGCACAACAAAAGCTACTAGTCAGGTGGAGTTATCTCCATGTAAGACCAGTAATAATTAAAATTTTTCTTTCTTTGAATAGCTGATGGGCTAATGGTTTAAATACTTATCCATATTCTAGTATGTTCTTCTCTTCCATGACCATGCTGTGACCTCTGAAAACAAAAGTTAGAGATCGGAAGTAACTAACTGACAATTACAGTGGTTGATACACTCCAGTTTAAATAGAAGTGTCCTCGGTTAAAATATGGTTCATTCATCGGTCAAACTGTCCTTATTTCCTTTAATTGAATTAAGATGGACAAATGAGAGATGTGTGCAAGACAGAAAAAAAAAATCCTTTCACAAATCACTGTTATCCTCCCTTTGAGTGTAAAACGAATCAATTAAAAGCATGTCAAAGCATCTTTCACTCTTGAACAACTTTAAAGCAGAAAACATTTTACAAAAATAAAAATTTGAGTGAGAAATGGAGAGAAACTGGTTGCTTTTTACAGTTAAACATAATTTTATCTCTGAGAACTGTGGATTATATTACTTTATGTGTTCGTGTTTGGTTACAATTATAACTGTGGTCAAAAGCCTTCATTTTTTTTTTTTTTATCTTCAAGTTGGAAATACTGCGTAAGAAGAAAATAGAAGAAAATAGTCCATTCACAATTGTATATACACAGTTTGGTTCCATCTGTACATTTACTACATAGTATTCCTGGTGGAGAGGTGAGGAGACAGGGTGGAGGCTGAAAGGTAATTTTTATTTTCCACCTAAGAGGCAACTACTTTGAAAAATGTAGTACTACTCTTTCTATTCCATTAAATTATTATTTTTTTGTACTACATCTTATGTGCAGATTCACATACATTCTATAAAGTCATTTTTAACCTGTTGGCCTGTATTAAGGTTTAACTTTATTAAAATGAGTTATCTGTCCCTATATTGTACCTCTGTTTTTCACTAGTCTACCCATGAGAATCTATACTGCCTAGCTCAGAGCCTGCTTCCTGTTTGGAATTCATATCTTTTCATACTTAAATATGTTTTTTCCTGCTCTCTGAATTTGGTTATAGATAGGCTCATAATTTGTGTTATTTATTCATTTGAATTTTTAAAAAATTTTTCATGTTTTTAATTTTAATGTTCAAAATTCAAAACATACAAAAGAGTACATAATGAAAAGCCTTTCTTCTGCCCCTGTCCCCCAGCTACCCAATTCCTCTCTTTGGAGGCCAACAATACTATCAGTTTCTTTATCCTTCAAGAAATGTTTTATGCAATATATATTTGGGTGAGCGGAAAAAAAACTGAAGTAAACTTTATTTATAAATGGGGCAGTGTTCAAAATTTCAAAAATATTGTAGTGCTCTCAGTTTCTACATGTTGATTTTTATAGAATCACCTTGGCAACATCAACTATATCTAAGCTTTTAAGCATTATCGGTGACATCAAGATAGACTCTTCAGTAGGAAATTTTAAGAATTTAAAATATCAGGCTTTTAGAGTTTCCTGTCTCTGGACTTGATGTCTGTGACGTGTGTTCTAGGCTAGAATTCTGGTATGTCTGTGAAACTCCTGTCTTATTATTTATCTTTTAGTATGGACCATGCCCAGTGAAAGAGAGCGTGGGTATGAATTACTGAGTAGACTGATCAGCAACACATCCTGCCATGGGGATTTTCCCTTACATTTATAGTCTGTACTCAAAAAAACTTCCTTCTGAAATGCCCAGGGCTAAGAATACTAATTTCCCCATAATAAATAAATAAATAAATAAAAACTTAACAAACACATGAGAGGAAACTAAAATCCAGAAGAATATTGTTAAACATGTTCAGGGTTATTTATTGATGGTTTTGCTCATTGGAAGGATAAAGTGTGTGTCACTTGTCATTAGCAGTAACAATTTCAGCACGTTATGTTCTCTTTTTATTTACTCTGGTGGCAACATGTTTCTGAACAGGGCCACTGGCTGTGGGTCAAGAGGTCAGTCTTTGAGGTTAAGAGTGGATGGGGTCATTTGCTATTAACCTAAGATTAGCAGCTAAGTTTTTTTCCTTTTTTTTCTTTTTAGTAGATTTCCTCCTATTTGTGTAACATGCCAGATTAATCTCTCCCAATTTTAAAAGAATCTCTCTTTTCTGATCAAATTTTATTTATTTAAGTTTTCATAGAGGTGTTTTTTCTATCCAGATCTCTTTCTAGCCCCTCTTCCTAGTCCATGAAGCAATGTGAACTTTTTTTAAGATTTAAAAAATTTTGTATCCTTTAACATCCATTTCCCAACATACAAATGCTGCTATTTTTTACAGTTTTCAACTTTTAAGGTTTTTTCCCCCCACATATTTACATATCAAACTAACCAACACAAAGCAGAATTTTAGGATTTCAGAGATGCGTTCTCTCCTGAGACAGCCTTTCTTCCTTGCTCTTGTTGCTATTAAATGATGTCCAGCTTTTAAACTGGCAGTTTTTGTTGTTGTTGTTATTTTCAAGTTTAGGGATTATTTAATTGGTGCCCTGATATCTGAAACCTTCCTGTTCTCTCTACTCTTCAGCAAAAAGAATCACCTGTTATAATGTAGTTTCGTCAACTGTCATGTAATAAGTGTTCTCTGTGGAGTTTCCTCATGAGAATTTCCACACAGTTCCTGGTTTATATTTTGGTATAAACCACAAGCCTGCTCTGGCTGCTTGGTCACTGTTAGGTCTTTTATACCCAAGTTGTTTCTCTTATGTCTTGGCTCATTTGATTACTAGAAGGAGATTTTAGTTGCCTTTAAAAAACTTTATTGCTACTGGTGATTTGCTTGTTTCTCTCTGTAACCTTAGTCGTAGGTCTTAGCCTGTGAATAAGCGTATAATGAGTACACTGTGGGTGAAAGGTATAACAAGCAGGGAAAGTTCCTTAATGCAGACTTCTCAGAGTGCAGTGTTGAGCTTAACGTATAAAAAGAAGGAGAGGAGGTAACATATATACATAAAAATTTCAAATATATCAAACCTATGGTAAGAGATTAAAATCCACTGGATTTCTAATAATATGATATACAGTAAAGAACAGTAGATTTCATCTGGTAGGCCCTTTGTTGTTAAGTTCTGTTACATGCTTGGTGTTGAGGAAGGTAGAGAATATTTAAGCAAAGCTTTCTAGAGATAAGATACCCAGAATGAGGAGCAATCCAGGTAGAGAATGTAGCATAAGTAAAGTTATAGAGCCGAGAAAAATAACAGTGTATTCAAAGGGTTCATAAGGAGGTTGACGTTGCCATAATATAAATTCCTAGGCAGAGAGTTAAAAGAGATGAATCCAGAACTGCGTGTGTGTGTGTGTGTGTGTGTGTTAGTTAATAAGTTTGGATTATATCTTATAAGGAATAGAGAAGGGTTTCAAACAGAAGAAGAAGGATATAATCATGCTTGCATTTTATTTTGTTTTTTCTTTTGACCTTTTTTGATTTTATTATTTATTTGTTATCGTTTTAAAATCTTTAATTGTAGTTGACATATATTCATTTCAAGTGTACAGCATAATGATTTAGCACTTATATACGTTACAAAACGCTCCAGTTGGTAGCTGTAGAGAAGGCAGATTTGAAGAAAAGTTAAGACCGGAGTCAGGAAGACCACCTATAGTATTGACCTGACCTAGGTCAGTGGTAAACAGAAATGAAAAGAGAGTGGAGAAGAGTAGAAAGTTGAGAAGTGTTTAGGAGTAAACATTGTCAGACATGGTGATTGGATATCAGACGTGAGGAAGGGGGAGGAGTTTAATATAAGTCTCAGGTTTCTGTTTACGCTAATTGAATGGAAGAGAAGATATAAGGGGAGAAGCAGATTAATGGGGGAACTCAATATTTTTAATTTTAGGAGTATTGAAAGTGATGTACCTGTAAGAACCAAGGTAGACTACCTGGCCCTGAGTAAAAATTTGGGAGTTATCAGTGTAGATGAAAGAGAAAAGTGTATGGAATGAGAAAAATAGTGGGTCACAAGCAGACCCCGAGTATCAGCGAGACATTAGAGGCCTGCGAAGGATGATTTGTTCAGAACAGGCTGTCAGAGAATCAAGACTAAAACCCAAAATACGTTACCACCGAAAGTCATGGTCAGGGGGTGGATTTCAACCAGCAGTGTCATTAAATATAGGATAGTACAATGGTCCTGGATGATAACGATAGAAATATACATTGAATTTAGCAATTAGCGAGTCATGAGAGGCATTAGCAAGAATAGTTCAAGTATAGCAGTCAGAATGAGAACCACACTTACTACTAATTATGGAGTGAATTGGAATGAGTAGTGAGTGAGAAAATAGGACATGGGATGTCATTTTCAAGAGTTTTTTTTTTTTCTTTGAAAAAACTTGAGTTTATTTATAGTCTGAGTGAAGGATGCAGAATTGAGCAGTGAATTAGAAATGAAAGAGAGATCAGATGCCTGACAGAGCAAGATCCTGAGCAACCAGGAGGAGGTTGGGTTAGAGATCTTGAAAAGAAGGAAGCTCTGATTTATATAATAGGAAGAAATAATTCTAGGTGGATGGGGATATATTTACAGGTAAAGACAGTCAAGGGATTCAGTTGATTGGCCTCAAGCTCATATTATCTCCCTTCACTTGCCTTCTGTACATTTAAGAGTAATTACTCCTCTCACCTCTGCTTAATTTTTACTCTTTATAGAGATATACATACATGGTCCAGTAACAATAAAAATTTTAATATCGTAGCCATAGAAAAAGAAAATAGAAGTTACCCATTAACGTACTTCTGGAGTTAACATTTTGGTATAACCTTTCGCCTCTCATCTGTGTGTATGAGTATATTTTTAAAGTGACCATGTAGTCTTCTGTAATTTATTTAACCAGTCTCTTGTTAATAAATACTTTATTTGTTCCTTTGCTTTTGTTTGTTTTGCTATTGTTAGCTTTGTTTTTTGCTTTTATAAACAATGAATTCCTTGTACATTTCGGTACATTTATGTTATTATTTTCTCAGGATATATTTTCCAGCAGTAGAATGGCTGATCCATCAAGTATGTGTTCTGTTAGGGCTTGTGATGTATGTTAGCCAAATCACTTTTCAAACAGTTGTCAGGTTTGTGCTGCCATATAAATGTAAGAGAATGGTTTCTCTTTACTCTCTCTCTCTTAACTTGAGCTTTTTGCCAACCCATTATGCAAAAGTGGTGTCTTTTGCTTTAAGTTTGCATTTTTTTGATGTTGAATACGTTTTATTTGTTTTGATCATTTAAGAGGATATATTTTGAGTGTTTTTCGTTCTTCTTTCTTTCTTTCTTTCTCTCTCTCTCTTTCTAGCTCTCTCTCTTTCGAGAGAGGAGTGGGCGGGGCAGAGGATGAGGGAGAGAGAATCTTAAACTCCTGCGGCTTGATCTCACAACTCTGAGATCCTGACCTGAGCTGAAATCAAGAGTCAATCACTTTTAACTGACTGAGCCATGCAGGCACCCCGAAAGTGTTTTTCACTCAGTACTTGAATAATTAAGAGTATAAGAAATTGATTATAATTATAAATTATAAGAAGTTTTCAGCATGGCTTGCATATCTAAGTATCTATGATATAGCAGTAATAAGGCCCTCTTGGCTTAGAAGAAAATCAAAAGGTTAATGACTTAGAGACTACTAAAAAGTTGGTTGAGGAAACTCTTTCAGTAAAATGATGTTATAAGTCTATACCTTGATGATAAACTATTAGAAAAATAAAAGAGGGAAAACAACAGAAAAGAAAATGTATAAGCCATGACAAAGCTCAAAAATAAGACAAACAGGGCGCCTGGGTGGCTCAGTTGGTTAAGCGACTGCCTTCGGCTCAGGTCATGATCCTGGAGTCCCGGGATTGAGTCCCGCATCGGGCTCCCTGCTCAGCAGGGAGCCTGCTTCTCCCTCTAACCCTCTTCCCTCTCGTGCTCTCTATCTCTCATTCTCTCTCTCTCAAATAAATAAATAAAATCTTAAAAAAAAAATAAGACAAACATCTCCATGGACCAAAGTTGGAACAGAAATGTTAAGGGCCAAGACGTGGAGAGTATGGGTGTTAATGTCTGAAAGATGGTTCAAGTGGCTGGGAGTTAGGCTTCTGCAGAGTGCTCCATTTGGGACCAAGTAATGTCTAATGAAAGCTGCTGGGGACTGCTGCCAAGAGCTATGGCTTATTTGAAATTGAATGCCCAGGGAGGTAAGAAGACAATGACAGCCTTAGGAACTGACTCATTTTCTGATTTTAATTTTCCCCAATATTAGCAAGGAATCTGATCCCTAGTTACTCAATATAAGACCAAATTCTAGACTGGAGTTTTAGGAATTCCATAGAGGTAACCATTAAACTGGAAGATAGGGAGTGGTATACTCATAGAGAAAGTGAAAAGAATTCACTGTAACTCAGACTGAAGATGAGCCTACAGATCAAATGTCAAAATCCATAAAATAAAGTAATGCATTAATACCAAAAAAGACAGACAATAAAGTCAGAAGATAGAGATGAATTCACTCAGATGAAAGGAAAATAATATAATCTGAAAAAACTCTTTATATTTCAGATTCTTAAAAATATAAAAGAATAGCTTTATAAAACAAGAAATTATAAAACAAAGCCAGCAGACATAAGAACAAGTGAATATTAAAAAACACTTCAAAATATTAGCAATAAAATAGTAAAGACGTTGACATTTTAAAACTCAGTAACAATTTCAGAATGTATCTTTAGATAGTAGTTCTCAGAAAGCAGCACAGAGATAAAAAATGTGAAAGAGTTGGGATGCCTGGGTGGCTCAGTCAGTTAAGCATCTGCCTTCGGCTCAGGTCATGATCCCAGGGTCCTGGGATCGAGCCCAGCATCAGACTCCCTGCTCAGCGGGGAGCCTGCTTCTCCCTCTCCCACTCCCCCTGCTTGTGTTCCCTCTCTCACTGTCTCTCTGTCAAATAAATAAACAAAATCTTTAAAAAAAAATGTAGAAGACTAGTTAAGAAACAAGGAGTTTATAAACTTCAATATATACCTAATAAGAGTTTCCAAATAATAAGATAGAATGATCAAGAAGCGATATTCACATGATAACTAAGAATTTACAGAATTGGAGAGATTTTGTCCTCAGATTGAAAGTATAACTTGAGGGTGCCTGGGAGGCCCAGTCAGTTAAGCGTCTACCTTCAACTCAGGTCATGATCCCAGGCTCCTGGGGTCAAGCCCTGTGTCGGGCTCCCTGCCCGGGGGGGGGGGGGGTAAGGGGCAGGGGGGAAGAGCTGCTTCTCCCTCTCCGTCTGCCCCTCCCCGCTGCTCATGCTTTCTCTCTCTCTCTCAAATAAATAAATAAATAAAATCTTTAAGAAAAAAAAAGAAGGTGTAACTTGAGTGTTGAGCAGAATATATGTAAATAAATTCATATCTATATACTTTATAGTAAAATTAAAGACCATTGATTTTTAAAAAGCTGATAGAAAAGACATATTACCTACATAGGTATGAAAATTATATAGATCATAGACTTTCATTGGATGGCATTAGATGCCAGAAAACAATGGAATAATATACCAAAGTGCTGAGCAAAAATAATTCTTAAATTACAATTCTATACCCAGCTAAAGTTATCATTCAGTACTTCCACACTGTCTTGCTGAAAAGAAAACCCTTTAAAGAAGTACTTCACCACAACAATGTGAATACAGAGGTAAAGTGTTACATGCACTGTAGAGAATTATGTTGGTAATTAACTTTGAATGTTAGTAATATAATAATAGTAACTTTCATGTGATCATATATTGGTATGAAACTAAAACCCCAGACAAAATGACAAGGAAGGCATGGTGCTGTTCAGTGGCAATTAAAGCATATTTAGGACAAATACTGTGTTATTGAATAACTTGGGGAAATTAATAGTTGTGTGCAGTATGATGAAAATTAAGGGTAAACCATTAACAAAGATAAAGTCTGTAGCTTTCAAACATATAGAGAAAAAATGATTATAGAAAACTGCAATAGAAATAAAGTAAATAAATAAAGTGTAATAATAGTGGGCACAGAAGAACAGAGCATACAAAATAAGATGGTAGAAATAAGCCCAAATATATCAATAATTAATATAAAAGACTGGAGATATAATACTGAATTTTTAAAAATCGAATTATATTTTGCTTACAAAAGAAGTATATCCAGAGATTGTGCCATTAGCTTATACCAGTGGTGTGAAATTTCAGTCAGGAGCTGTAAGCAACAAATGGCTGCATTTTCTTTTCCTCATTATTCAACATAGATTTATGTCAGAGAAAGAAAATATTGCCTTGTAATTTCACAGATTTTGTCATTAGTTAATCAGAGCTCATAGAAGCTTCAAAGATCCCATCAGTTAATTCCACCAGCGCTTGAAATTTTCATTGTGCTAAAGCTGATTGAAATTCTGAGCTGCCTTTAAAGCAATTCCAGACCTCAAGCTTCTGAGGATTTTAAAAAGATATACTAAATATGTGACGCTTAAATTCATAGGCTGAATTTCCTTTTGGATTGTTTTTCAAAGACTGAAAATGTCTATGTCAGGAAATATTTTCTCTTTCCATCTCCCAGCTTCCCTATTTGTCAACTATTCTGTTCTGACCTCTAAGATGGGGTTCACATTTTAATTACAGTTACGTATGGCAGTCTCCATCTGCCATAGCCAGCCAGCCTGCAGGCTTGACAGCAGAGAAGGGGAAAACCTAATACAGGACTTCTTTTTGACAAGCTATCTTGCTACTTTTCATTTACAGTTAGACTCTCTAAATAATAATCTGTTTCAATGACTAAATGACCTGGTAAATTATCAAATATTAGAAAACTCGTTTCGGTAGTTGTATCACTTGAAGCATCAACAATCATGTTCTTTTTAATTAAATGTCTCCATTCTCCACATATGCCACTGGTCCTTATGGCCAGAAAGAATTAATACAATTTATGAAAGTTGTAAAAATACGTTGCTCATTCTCTTATTCCCATTTAACTGCAGACGAAATATTCGTTGTTCAGGATAAATTGTCCTTAATTGGAATACTCTTCCCTCATCCCTGTGGGTCCCCTTCTCCCAATTGTTCTCTCCCTAAGAATATTTCTAAACTTTCTAGTTCACTGTGTCTACAGTTATCCACAGATTAAACATGGATTTATTCTGGTTGGTTATGAGCATAAGAAGTGATCTGATTGGATCTTTAGGAATGATTATTGGTAGGCTATAGTAATGATCAAAAACCCAGACTGATTTTTCTTTTTGTCCTATTCAAGTACAAGAATTTAATTTTTTAAAATTTATGGACCGTAACATCGGAAGCAGATAGATATAGTCTTCAAACTGAAAATACAATTTCTTTTTACCTCTCACATAAGTATACAGGCAGTTGCCTCTGCGGATCCATCTAGAGAACTTTTTGGGTTCGTACATGAACATGTTCATACATGTTGCTGCTGATAAATTCTTGCTCTGACCCTAGTTGAGATCACTGCAGTCTGAATTACTGAAGAGAAGCTATTCCATAACACAGTGCATCTCAGAATTTATTTTTTCAACTGATACTTCCAGCTCTGGATTCTGTGACATTTGCCCAAAGGGAAACACCGGTCCCTTGGATTACACTGTGCATCCATTGTCTGAACTGTCACAGCAATAGCGCGTAAAGCTGTTTGCATAGCGTGCTAACTCTATCAGGGTCAGTTCCAGTCTGT